TCTTCTCAGCCGTCGATACATCAGATTTTGGAGTGCGTTCTTCCATGTATTTGTTGACATACTTTTCGGGATAGCCGTTTTCCCTGAGAGTGTTTCGTATAATGGCGAGTCATCTATAAAGTGCCGGTGAGACACTCCAAGTTCCTGCGTCAGCGAATACTTGCGACGGCAGAGGCAATGGCCGTACGGCTAGCCAACCCAGCCTTGTGCTCGCATAAGGCATTTGTACAAGCTCTATGGCTCCTCTGGGCAGACAAACTCAGCGATGAAACAGGGACAGCAAATCGTTAGACACCAGGCATGATGATGAATAATGGAATGCGTACGTTTGCCGGGCTTAACTTCTTAGATATCTACATGGGTCTCATCGGCAAAAAAATTTCAACTTATATAAGGGACGCCAATTTCGGCTGTGTGTTTGAGGAACATTGTCGCCAGCAGCCAAATGAGCGCTTCAATGTACTCGTAACGCTTTTTGCATGATTGAATATCACTTTATGACAATTTTTACTAATGTGAAATCCCCCTCATCCTACAACTTATGATATGCATGAGTTAATCCCTTGCTTTTCGCAAATTTTCAAGTTATGGGTCAGTTGAAAAATTATTCGTTAGGCAGACATACATAAACACTTTCAGAATACTCAAAATTTGACAGACTATGAGGAAACGGTCAAAAGAAAACGATGGATACCGGCGTGTGGGACTGAAAATTCTGTGCTGCATCGATTACAAGTCAAGCTTGGACAACATTACTCTGGATCGATTTCGAGTTCAATTTTCGCAATTCTGATCGATACAAACCACCAAACCGACGTTAAAGAAGCCTTTAAAGTTATCTACCTGGCACCGGCACACTACTCTAAGGGCCTGAGCGAACGGGTGCTAGCCACAGCCGAAGCAGTGGACATTCGACTAGCGAGCCCCGCACTCTGTTGTCAGAAGATGTTGACACAAGCAGTCGGTCTGCCCTGGCCGACTCCAGGCGGTGATCACACGTTGTCCCGACGCCCTGAGAGCAGTCACACGCACTTACAGCGCCTACACTCTAACCGGAACCCCTCTCCTTTCCCCCTCCCACCCCAAATCCACCGTCCTCAGCACGCCGACTCCGTCATGTGGGCGGCGTGGGAACATGGAGTCAGATTAACCCTGCCCCTGAGACGCATTTATATCCTATCAACAATTGGTATGATCATTACCCACCTGATGTAACAGAATATGCTCGAGTCCGACCTTGACCACAGGCAAACGTGCCGACGCGAGATGGGGGAGCCGAGACATCGCTCGACAACCAAAAGCTTGAAGGCGGTGAATTGTGTTGTGTCGGGTTGGGTGGGGGATGTCCGGGTGTTGAAAGTGGAACGTAAGAGTTCGCGGAAGTTGGAGCGGACATGTCAAAATAGACACGTCGGACAGGGAACCATGACGAAAAACTGACGCCACATCTCAGAGGACTGATGGTCTCGGGCGTAGGTGGTAGTAGGCCTTGGGCAACCAATGAAGTCTCAAAAGCGACTAGAATGCCTGTGCCAAAGATGAGAGAGGTGTAATCCACCACAAAGATCCATGGGAAACGATTTTGCCGTCCGCTATTCAGATCAAGCGAGCGCTACTCATCAGTGGTGGCGGGTGTGGGGTTGACTACATGCAGTAGCGAGTCACGACAGGGACATCGATGGTCCAGGGGCGTTACGTGGGTGGAACTCAGCTGGGTGCCAGAGCCAACCAGAAAACGCCAGACACACTTGTCACCACAAACACAGAAGATGCGTCACTGCCGGAACTATGGGTTAGGTTGGCATTCCAGACGGTCAGCTTATTTGAAATGCCCTCCTTGAGGTCATAAATGCAGCGCCAAGCGCAGTTACGGGGCCTCAGGACCCCAAAAAGCCGTGATGGGGAGAGATGAAAGAGCCATTATAGCCTGTTCATCAGTTCTGAATTGAAACGAGTTACCCAGTCATTTGGCAACGCCCCGAACCACAATTGTTAACGCGTCACGGTGATTCCAAAGCACCTTTTTGTATAAAGTTATGCAACCAAGCATATTATCCGAGCTGGTTGAATTTCATTCTGGTTTCCCTTGCACATGTTCGGGTGGCCGTCCGAGACAAACCGACGTGGAACCAGACCGGACATTGGCTGTTGCGACAGGGAGCCAGTGTAAAAGGCATGCCTCACTTGGGCTCGAAAATCACAAAAGCAATGGGGACTAGATCGCAGTTGGTAGCCACGAAGTGGGAAACGGACGGCGACCTTAACCCTACTCATAACCCTAACCCTAACCTCAGCCTTAAACGTTAACCTTAACGGTAACCGTAACCCAGATCAAAAACGCAACCGTAACCCTTATACATAGCCGTAACTTGAAAAACCTAACCGTAATACTGAACCCCCATCGTACGCATAATCGTAACCCGAAAATCGGAAACCATTAACCGGTACCCTAATCCTAACCTCAAACGGAAAATGGGAGCCAAATGGGTCAGATGTGATTATGGAACCCCACAAAATAGCCCCAGTTAACAAGCCCCCCCCCCCCCTAGCCACCTGTAATACGGGGCCTGGCTACCAACTGCGATCTAGCCGCAATGGGCGTTATAGAAGCCACAGTAATAAACAGCCATTTCAGCCAGTTGGTTGTTGTGTGGCAAACTTGCGCAGCACCAACGGCACTCTTCTTCCTTATTCACCTATCTGACGAGAAGACAACGTCAACTCTACCAGAGTTGGGCGCGGACGCGCTTAGACAGCCCACCTCTGCGTGCCGCGCGCGGGAGGAAAAGGTGCCACCAGACCGAACAAGTCCCGCAGAGGCCCAACCACCGCTAAAATATTTGTAACTTAACTGCCTATTAGGCTGACCTGTATCGTTTCAGTGCAGTTTTCAAGCCCTTCTGCCATTTGCTCTAAACACACGGATTGGCTGATCGATGGATTGATTGATACACCTGCTATCGAGGTGACGAGTCATGATGCGTGTAGCTGTCAAACCCGTCAAACATCCACCAAGAGGCCAAATCGGCGAAAAGCGAAAAAAATCGATCAGCTCAAGGCCAAATGACTCGACAAGTCAGTTCAATTTTTGTTCGCTTTTGCCCATTTAACGTTTTGACAATTATGAGTTGACTAAACCTTCCGAAACGTCGGCAGTTCAATAAATCTGTTCTGGTGATCCCTGTCCCCTTTTCAACCTGTGAAAATCTTAAGCCAAGAGGGGACTAGTTAAGTATAGGAAAACAGGCTTACATTTACAAAGTGAGCTAGGCTAGGAACTTAAGTCTCCCAAGGGACCTAGAGAATAGTTTATAGAAATTTACAAGAGGTTAAACTATGAACAGGTGAGAAGTGCAGTACCTTACAATAACTTTTCAATGGCGGGGAGCACACCGATCGTGTTATGGAACTCACATGTTCGTTGTGCCTTGAGGTTGATAAACCAAACATGGCCATTTCAGTCTCCTTTGACTCTGTCACCAGTGTTACTCTGCTGTGCGGATGCTGGCTGGTTTCGAGAGAGCCCCAAGGCACAACGGGACAATTAATGAGCGCCCTGCTACCATTGTATATACCCGATCGCAACCTACAGGACAACGAGCCCGTGGCTCAGTGGTTAGAGGCGTTGGACTTCAAACCAACAGGTCGCGGATCGAGCCCCGGGTGTTCCGCACCCCGAGATTGGATGTGACCGTCTGTCGACGGCTAGTAAGACGGAAATGGTCATTCCAGTCTCCTTTGTCAATAATGTTACTCTACCAATAGCTTTCCGGTATGTTATAGAACGTGTGAGAATGTGAACGGAAGAATCTATACAAAGAGAGATTTGGGTTGCAAATTTTTTTGGAGGAACTATGGGCCAGGTTAGTCGAGTTATCGGCTACCTTCTCGTCAGGCGCAGCTGAAAATTCGACCGTCTCCAGCAATTTCGTTTCCGGATTCAGGTGGAGGGGTGTGGAAAAGCCGCGCCAACATGATGCTCCGTGGTAATGAGCATTACAAATTGAGCCAAGTATACCTGCATGGATAAAGAATTTAGCGTGCCAATTTACAAACCTGTTGTTAGGGCGACATAAACTTCCAAGCTCCAGAGCCCTTTCCCCTTTTAAAGATAACCGTTGTAGCTGCTTTAACCTTTGTTAACAAACATTGACACAACTGTCTCCAGAGCTCGTGAATTTTGGGTGTGAATACCAGCACGAATTAGTTAGTCCCAAATTTAGTCAGTCGGGAGGTATCAGGGTCTCTAAGTTCTGTTAATTGGGGAGGAACGATAAAACGGAAAGTAATTCCTTTCCTGGTTTAGTGTAGACAGTAGCCAGTAATAACATAATACACGATGCGTAAAGGGACATTTTTGCTTCTTAGCAGAAGCGTCTCCTCTCATTGATTAAATAAAGGCTAGAACCTACTTGATTGTGATAGAGCGAGGCCACTGATAACAGCAGTCTCCTTCAAAATAATAGCAAAAGGCTACGCGACAAAATAATTCAATGACCCTCTTTAACCGGGTAGCTGGTATCTTGATTTTCATCTGTACATATAAATCAGCGTGAAAGGCGTGAAGATTGATCTAAGTACTGCAGCGGCACAGGAGAAACAGGTTTTGCGTTTGTCTGCCAAACTTCTGTGACAGATCTTTAGCGAAAAGTGTCTCCTCAACGAAAAAAAGATATCTTTTTTGATGAGGTGCTAGTCGAGACTTGAAGGGTTGAACAGGTCTACCACTTTATTATGAAACTTGTTTTATAAAATATGTACATGTGTATGTGCATATGGGAGTCAAAAAATAAACTCTTGCCAGCTTAGTAAACTTGAGCATTCACCGGCGGATAACCGCGAATGTCCAGTTCAAGTGCAGAACTTTTAACTGGACTGGGAAGGGAGTCCCACGAAGTAAACGGAAATCAATAAACATACAGGCCTCTTTTTGCCCCTTTGTTTGCGGTTTCAGCTCCGAGTGCGTACTTTGCTCCAGTAACCAGGCCGACTCAGGTCTTTTAGGAGAATAGGTAGATACAGGCTCCTAGAGCAGACCCAAAGAGGGCAATTGAGAAGAAAATGATTAGGCTTAGACAGATGTACTGTTTCCGGCGAAGTCGTTTGCTCGACAGGGTCTCATGGTCTTCCTGATCCTTGACCTCAAAATCCGCCTCTATCCTCAGACCTGAGGCGCTGCCGGCAGTGGCCCCCAGGACACGTCCGCTTGTTACGCTCTCCACTCTGTGCATAGTTCGATTACATTGAGAACGTCTCCGTCCGCTGTTGTCAAGGGCTTCGGAATGGGCTCGGACGTCGCGCATCGCATATGAATCCCAGATCTTCTGGATGCCTCGACGCATAAAGAAATCACTGTTCTCCTGGAGCCAGCCATTCTCGCAGTCCTCCTCCTCGTCCTCGTCGTAGTCCTCATCTGCAGGGCCCTCGGAGTCACTCGGCCTACCTTCAGCGCACACCGCAGTATCTGCCGTGCACTCGGGACTGGGAGTGGGGCTGGAGGTGCAACCAGCAAGACTGCCCACTCGCTGCTGATTGGCACGTCTGCGTCGCTTTCTCTGACTGGGTAGAAT